GGGCACTGTCCCTTGCTGTGCCCTGTGTTGGCCCGCAGACTGATTTATGCCGTCCCCTGGGCGCGCGTTCGGATGGCGCCGCCCACCCGAGCGCCAGTCTTGCTATTACTTGCTCTACTATTTGTACTTGCTAAAAGCCGTTTCCCACCCCAGAGTGGTTCGAGCGGCGCCTGGAGACACGAGCAGAGTTCATTACCTGCCGACGGTGTGCTGCTGTTCGACTGCTTTCGTTTTACGGCCGAGCGCTATTGCGTGTGCGAGCATAAGTCCAGTGTTTGATTGCCGACTTGATGTTGCGGGCCGCCGAGTAGTTGTCGTGTGGGCCCTATGGTCCCATCCCCATGTCCCTATCATCGAGCACCTCTGCGCAATTTGCCCCTATCCGGAGGTCACCACTGCCTTCAACGCATTCGCTTGCTACATTAACCAACAATAATCATCTCAACAACAATTCGCTGGTCAGTCCTTCGCTTGAGCCTGTCATAGAAACCACACCGCTCACAAACGGAGGACCGAAGCTTAAAAAGGCCACTGTACCCGTACCAGATCCGCGTCGACCGATATTCAGAGAGCAGCCTGTACCTCGCGTGCTACCTGCCAATAACGAATACATCGTAAGTCTTTGCAGTTTCTTGTGAAAGTAGCAATGTGTGCCATTCCTTCCTGTTCTCAAACATCTGATTGAAAAAGCATTAGTTGGTGTTAGAGTGTAAGATAAATCGCAGTCCACTGCATGTAATGAACATTTCTCCCATATCGATTCACCTTTGCTCTCTCACGGTCGCCTTTTTGCCTCTCTGTCTTCGCTTTCTTATATATGGGCAGCGAACTCGATAGCTCTACTTAATAGAGCTCGACGATCTAGAAGATATCATTTGAACTGCTATCAAATGCTATAGAGTTAAAGTGTCTGCTCTTTCAAAAAAGGCAGCCTTGGCCTCGTTTTTCACTACACGCTGAGTTTCTTCAGCGGCGACTAATTGCTCGCCGGCTTGAAATATGCAAATTGTGGACTAAACTAGGTAAAACTCTTTCCTCGGCAAGTGCACTGCATATCAATGGATAGATGTTGCAAAACTAAAGGCCCAACAAAGGTTCAGCGCTTCCAAGACCATCTGTTGCGGTCAGTCATACTAGCGTCAGTTTCTTCGTCCTTATCGGCGCATTCTGTCGAAAATGCTTGCTTTGCGGCTCATGTTTCAATATTTTGGAATGTTGTGCACATATCGGGTGACGCTCTCTGTCTAAATGAAGCTGCGAGGTTTGTATGAGCCCTTGAAGTTCTTTAGCTACTCGATGAATCATCAGCCTTGTCCTATCAACATAAACTAGTGACAGTAGCGGCTGCTAGGGACAAACAGCATCTTTGAGATTTACATTGAAAAACAAAATGTGTATGTACATCCAAGCGTGTCATCGCTTACCGTTTGTGTCTAAGTGTGTGCATGTGTTATGTGCATGTGTGTGTGTTTGTGTGAAAGAGAGCATTTCTTCGCTGCGTTATGACCAAAACAAATTCACATGCTGGTGAAGCAGTAGCTGTAAATAACAAAATGAATGTGAATATGATAACAGAAATACTTTGCTTACCTGAGGGTACCCGTCCCTCACTCTAAGCAGCGATTACGATTTTAATTCTCCACCTTGTGACTCCAACTCTTTTCGTCCCGCCACCCTCTGCGGTGTGCTGTCCACTGCGACCAGACGTTATGCGTCCTTGTCGCGACATCATGCGCTGTCACAAATTGGACTAGGTCCGTTAGTCGCATAATTAATGTTCACACTCCAGAGCAGGAACGCGTCGCCCAACGGAAAGCGCTTGCGGCTGCGAACTAACAAAAAGTGCATTTTCACAGGGACATCATGCGTGTTTGCTGATGATATTGATGGCACACTTCCTTTGCTTTCCCTTCGAAGATTACCTCGCAATTCATGCTCGCGCTACCTATGCAGATTTGAATTGTGCGCATCAAAAGTGTGTAGAGATTGAGAAACTCTATACAGTTGCACGTTGACAGATGACTGAATTCTAAGCTATTGGGTGTCGTGACAAAGTGCTTAAGGCGCACTTTTCCTAGGTGAATGGGTAATGCTATAATAAGCGGACATGTAATATACTCCCGAGGGAGATTTATAAATCTCATTTACCGTAGTAAGAGCAGGATTTTGGCGGATTTGAAATCGTAATGACTTCTTAGTTAATCGTCTAGTCAGAGAAATATAATATTGCATGGCAAAAAACGATTTGATTCCAAAAACAATGGAATAGTATCTCAAGAAGAGGGACTGGAGCGCAACACATTCATTTTACTGAAAGGGTAACTCACAAACGTCAACGTACAAGGTGTCCTTAGAGTATGTACACACTATTTGGTTGTAACCGTGCCTTGAGGTCTTTAGCGGAAATATGGGTATCATTCTTCACCTTAAATTTACAGTTTGGACTAACATCAATCGTTTTTTGTCATTGTAAATTTACAGTACGAAACGATGAGGGTTTCGAGGTTCAGGGCGAATTGTTTCATAAAAAAAACTAAACAAGCTGGAAACCAGTTCCTAGGCTAGTTAAAGCCGCTTGTTCCGAAGAAATCCTTCCTCTGTAGTAATGCCTTGTAATGTTCGTCTTCAGATTATGCCAGGAAACCTAAAAAGTTTTCCATGTCAAAAATGTGATTACAACAGTTAAAATAAAGGAAGAAAAGTGGGTGAGAATAATGCCACACAGTTTTTAAACGATTTTCATGCTGATATGTTCGAAACAGCTTGGCATGTCACATGTCCGACATGTCACATGATAGGTTTATACCTTACTTCTACAGTTAAGAGCGATCGATGTGATTAGTGTGTAAGCTCTATGTTGTAATCCTAAAGGATGCCAAGTGTACAGGATGACAACCATATTTCCGGTAAAGACAAATACAAAAGAGCTTTTAACAGTCAAACAATGTAAACTACTTTTGAGACATGTGTAAAACCTTTAGAGCTAGAAAAGGGCTTTCTCGCTTCACCTTCCCGAACAATTAAGAAGACTCTATAAGGCAGTGTACAAAAGCTGAATTTTTCAGCTTTTGAAGTCTTCCGTAGTCAATCTTATGCGCAGCACCCGAAGAGTTGTTTCAAAGATTTGTTCGCATTTTTGAATGAGTGCTTCTTTCGTTGCTGGTCATTGAGTAACAAACGCGCTTTATTTTGAGTGCATATGCATAGAGCTTCGTCGTCGCAATCAATAGGCAGCAGGTTTAGGACTTGATGGTTTTGTTCCTCAGAGGAACTTATACGTGAGCAGTCTTGAAACCTCTTCCTCAACGATGTTATTTCCGAGCGTCGCTAAGCTGAGCCCAATGACGCGTTTATCCAAGAAAGTGGAAATAAACTGCGTTAAAGCTGTTGAAGGGATCCGATTTGCATTATTGCTTGTAAAAGAAAAGATGTCGCACCTTTTGCGAAACGTGCCAGATTACTTCCTGAGAATGCATTGTATCCAAGTAATGCGCTAAACTAGGCGAACGTCTTCTGCCTCCATGATCTTCTTTCAGATAAGCAAGAGCGCTCATCTGCTACTCCCAGCGGACTCATCAAACGTCAGAAATAACGGGCCGGAGTCAACAGCACTCCTAGGCCTGTGTGTTAGTTTCCACCTGCTTGAACAACGTTACGTCGCACTTTTTCGCCTGGACATAGTGCGAATGATTTGAAACAAGTAGCAACTTGTGATATTGTTCAACCTAGCACGAAGGTCCCGGATATTAATTTTGTGCACGATGTCCACTCAGGCGCGAAACGGCAATTTGAGTTCCTTTTGATTTGAACTCTCTCCGCCGCCTTTCTCAACAGCTAACCATATACGATTTGAAAAAGC